TGATGTGAGAGAGAAACATTGATTGGTTGCCTCCCTTGAGTGCCCTGACGGGAATAAACCAGCAACCTGGGTATGTGCCCTGACCAGGCATCCAACGGGCAACCTCCTGGCGCACAGGACGACACCCAACCAACTGAGTCACGCTGGCCAGGGCCAAACCAACTGATTTTAGACATAAAGGTTGAAAAAATGTGCCCGGCTGGGCGTGGCTCAACGGTTGAGAGTCGACCTAGGATCCAGGCGATCGGGGTTCGATTCCAGGTCAGGGCACATGCCCGGGTTGTGGCCTCGATCCCCAGCAGGGGTGTGCAGGAGGCAGCCGATCAATGACTCTCATCAATGATGTTTCTCTCTCTCCCTCTCCTTTCCTCTCTCTGAAATAAATATATATTTAAAAAAAAAAAAAAGATTGAAAAAATGTAAGAGCAAAATAAATGGTGTTGAGGAAAATAATTATTAATTACACCTCCCCCCACCCCAAACACAAAGAAACATGATCATGAAATCAAGAAAACACTAAGATTAGGTTAATAGATTCTGCACAAGATCTCAACTTGGATTCTTAAATTTAGGCAAGCAAAACTGATTGAATAAATACTCTGATGATGCATTGAAACCATTTGTTTAACTCTATGATCTGGAAAAAACTTGGTATGGGCTATGTCCAAGTTAAAACTGTGTGTGTTTTCACTCACTAATGTGTCGGAGGTGCTTACCCTAACCCTAATGAGCATCAGTGAGCTCTCAGTAAGTAAAAAAAGGAAGAGACTGAAAACAAAAACACCTAATTAAATTTTAAATTAAATTTTAAATACTACAATAATGCCAAGACTTTCATTACTGGGACATACAAAATTATTAGTTTAACGGTAACACTTAAGAAAGTATATAGGAGGATAGCTGTGCTTCCTTAAGCAAATGAAAATATTAGTATTTTGAAACTGAGTGGAAACCACATTCCCAGCCTTCTGTATAGGACTTAAAGGTGTTGTGTTTTTAATACTCACCCAGGATATGTTTTTATTGACTTTAGAGAGGAAAAGAGAGAAAAAAATATCGATGTGAGAGAAACACATTGATTGCCTCCTGTACACGCCCCGGTGGGGATCGAACCTGCAACCTGGGGTATGCGCCCTGACTGGGAATCGAACCCAAAACCTTTTGGTGTAGGGGACAGCACTCCAACCAACTGAGCCACCTGGCCAGGGCTAAAAATGTTTAAGATTAACAAGTAACCTTATAATTAACAGGCTAACAATGGCTACCCAATTGTATTAATCATTACAAAACCATCAACACTGTCTTTTCTTTTTTTTCTTTTTCTAATCCTCACCGAACACATGCTTATTGATTTTAGAGAGGGAGAGAGGAAAACATCAATGTGAGAGAAACACTGATCAGTTGCCTCCCGTACGTGCTCCAACCAGGAATCGAACCCACAACCCAAGTATGTGCCCTGACCTGGGATCGAACCCACAACCTTTCGGGGCACAACACTCCAACCAACTGAGCCACACCAGTCAGGGCAACTGTCTTTACTTATTTAAATATATCTTTATTGATTTCAGAGAGAGGAAGGGAGAGGGAAAGATAAAAACATCAATGATGAGAGAGTCACTGATTGGCTGCCTCCTGCACGCCCCCTGCTGGGGATCGAGCCTGCAACCCTGGCATGTGCCCCGACTGGGAACTGAACAATGACCTCCTGGATCATAGGTTGATGCTCAACAGCTGAGCCACGCTGGTCAGGTGCAACTGTCTTTTCTTGTCCAAAAATTCCAAACGTGGCATAAGATGATTTGTAACATTATAGCTGAAGTCCTGTTGTATAGTTTCTGGTTTACCATTATGCTTCTTTTAAAGTCCTAGTTTTCCAGCCAGTAGGAAATAAAAATTCCCAATTTGTTTCCTAGTTTTCAAAAATTATTAAGGCCTCCGCCAGGTAGTTCAGTTGCTTAGAGCATTGTCCTGATACGCCAAGGTTGCGAGTTCGATCTCTAGTCAGGGCACATACAAGGAGCAACCAACTAATGCACCAATATAAGTGGAACAACAAATTGATGTTTCTCTCTCCCCCCTCCCTTCCTTTCTCTAAAACCAATCAATAAAAGAAAATTATCGCTCAGCTGGAGTGGCTCAGCAGTTGAGCATCGACCTATGATCCATGAGAAAGTGGTTCAATTCCTGGTCAGGGCATATGCCTGAGTTTTGGGCTCAGTCCCCAGCAGGGGATGTGCAGGAGGCAGTGGATCAATGACTCTCAAAATATTACCAATTAACTTATTGGTGTTCTCAGTGCTATCATAGTGTTAGTGAGTGAAGGGAGAGGAAGAGAGAGAGAGAAACATCAATGATGAGAGTCATTAATCCACTGCCTCCTGCACGCCCCCTGCTGGGGATCGAGTCTGAACCCCAGCATGTGCCCTGACTGGGAATTGAACCACGATCTCCTGGATCATAAGTCGATGCTTAACAGCTGAGCCAGGGTAGCTGGCAATAAAGACTTTTATTATCAATTAATTTATTGGTGTACTCAGTGCTATCATAGTGTTAGTGAATAGCTAACTAGAAGGTGAATTAAAATGTGCACACTAAGCCTGACCTCAGTTTCAGTGAGCCTTTTCTTCAGAAGGAAACTGCATAAATGTATCTCAGAGCATGTTTTGCTTGGAGCATAATGAATGGTCACCAAAGCAGCCACACATGGTCCTTACGTAAAGCCTCAGGAACACACATGTATTTTGCAAAAGAGAGCAGACAGGGTGAACAACAAATTGACTCAGAGAGAACAGAGCTAAATGGCTCAATAGAATTATGACCATGGGACCTACTAGGCGACTGTCCTCTATAAGTCCATTTACAGAAACCCCAAAATCATCATCCCTACAGTGTGGGCTTCTGATATGTGGAGGGCTTTACAATGTCTACATTTCTAGAACTGTCATAAACTTGTCTTTTTCCCCTTAGGTCTTTTCCAAGTTTTTATGTATCTTTTATAAAGTTTTTGTAGCACATAAGCGTTAAGGGACAGAGTTCAGAAATTGGTGTGTGGGGGTCATAGCCATCATCATAATTTAACCAAATACTAAGCATCTACTGTGTGTCAGGCATAACTTTTACACAAAACACCGGTGGAGAAAAACAAACCTCATTCCCTTCAGGAGCTTACGCTCTACTGGGGAAGAAAGTATAAAATAAGCATGTAAGATATGCAGAATGCCTGGAGGGTAAACTGAGAAAGGGGGACAGGGAACTTGCAGTTCAGAGTGGCCACAGGAGCCCCAGGTGACATTTGAGCAAAGTCCAGAGGGTAAAGAAGCTGGCTGTGTGGACACGGAGACTGGCAGAGGGACAGCAGGGACAGAGGACCTGCCTGCAAGGGTGCTGGGCAGTGCCCCTGCCCACTGCATGCAGCCTTCACACTTACCTGCACACCTTTTACCTGAAGACGAGCTCTCTTTCCATTTGCACAAGTAAACAAAACAGAGAACCAAGGAAGGAGTCATTACCTGTGTCATGAGCAATGTCATAATAAGTGGCACTCTGCCCATGATCACATCTGTACTCCAGCTGGGCCAGCACCTCACTGTTGCATATGTGAGGAGGAAAATACTGTTTGAAATTGGCTGGCCCAGGCCACTGTCACCCAGGCCTTTGTCCCCATAGTCAGTGAAGAACCTAAACCACTGCCAACAGAAAACAAGATTGGAAAAGACCATATATTTCCAGAAATAAATGCAGCATAAATGCTGTTCCAATTCAGTGCAGCCGGGAGTCTTTTCTGCCTCCAAGGGCTGTGTCCAAGATTAATGCAGGGCAGGGCAGAAAGTCTGGCCTCTCCAAAGGGTGGACACATCCACCCACCAGGAAAAAGACAGGAGAGTGGCCTCCCCATGCTGCAGAATCAACAATAAAAGGCAACCTGTATGATGGAAGGAGACTTGACTTGGGGAAGTGAAAACACAATACAATTATACAAATTATAGGATTGTACACCAGAAACCTAGGTTTTATTAACCATTGTCACCCCAATCAATTCAATTTTTTAAAAAATATGTCTTTATTGATTTCAGAGAGAGGGATATAGAAAACAATGAGTGATTGATCGGCTGCTTCCTGCATGCCCCCTAATGGGGATCAAGCCCACAACCCTGGCATGTGGCCTAATTGGGAATCAAACCGTTATCTCCTGGATCATAAGTTGATGCTCAACCACTTAGCCACACCAGCCAGGCAAATTCAATTTAAAAAAAAAAAAGGCAACCTGCATAGTCACCTAAAGTGGCAGTGGAGGTGAAGTGGGGAACAGGGGGTGGTTGTTGGGAGTTTGGGTTGCTTTTGGGGGTGAAATTTTCCAGAATTGGTGGTGATGTACAGACAGCTGGGAATATACAAAAAGCCACTGAACTGTGCACTATAAATGCATGAACTGTATGGTGATTATGTCTTAATAAAGCTATTAAGAAACACACATTTCTTCTAACTGGTACCACTCTGGGGGGAAGGGATTCACTGGATGCCAAAATTCTAGGCAAAAAAGCACAGGGGAGCACAGCTGGAAGCGAGCGCTGGACATTAATCTTGCCCTTTGGATGAGGGGAGGACAGATGCACGCTTGAATTGTGGAAAATGGACACAGGTGTGGCTGTGGCAGTCTGCAGGTGGGGAGCAGGGAGGGGTCCTGGAGACCCTGCCTTGAAGCCACAGCAAACCTATTCTCCCACTTTGGTTTTTTAGACAAGTGGAACTGTTTACTCAAAATACGTTTAATTTTAAAATACCCAGCATTCAATACCAACTCAAAATCCAGATGTTTTATTTTTTAATCCTCACCCAAGGATATTTTTTTCCATTGGTTTTCAGAGTGGAAAGGAGAGAGACAAACATCGATGTGAGAGAGACACATCAACTGGTTGCCTCCTGCACATGCCCTTGGCCAGAATCGAACCCGGGACCCTTCAGTCCATGGGCCAATGTTCTAACCACTGAACAAAACCAGCTAGGTCCAGATGTGTTTTAATCTCTCTGCCTGCTGATCTCAAAGTGCTGTCAGTCAGGGACAGGGCCACTGTGAGGGGGGCATGGAGATGGGAAGCAGGAAGTGGGGGCTGACTAGAGACTCAGACCCAGGCCCCATTTGTGCGGAGCCAGCTAAGGGTGCCCAGGGGGGGACAGACAAGAACCTAGGACTGTCTTGATTGCTGGATGGCTCACTGGTCTCCCCTTAGCATCCTGTCCTCTCCTGAGAAACCATTACACGGGATGCCAGGTAGGGCTCAGTGTCCACATGAGGCCACAGGGCCCTCAGCCCAGGGAAGGCAAACACACAGCCTGCCTTGGGTTCCAAAGGAGCAGCAGGTAGATCTCCAGGGTTAAGCAGATTCCAGCAGGGCAGGTCGCCAGCAGGCCAACTGCCTGGGTAGGCTGGACACAGTCCATTTGTCTCCGGGGCTGGAGGAGAGAAGAGAGGGCCACCATGTGACACATCTGTCACATGGGTTGGACACACCCAGGCTGCAAGTGCCGCTGCCTCTGGGACCCAAAGGAGATGGACAATGACAGGCTGTGGTGGAACCTGGGAGGAGAGGGTTAGGGCAGCAAAGAGGAAAGCAGGTTTGAAAGAAGGGGCTGAGCTCAGAGCTCTGGGTCAGAACGTCAGTGGAGTGGGGAACAAGTAGGGCTCACTCAGGAAAAGAGTCAGGTCCTTCCTGCACCACCACAGTATATACAGACACGCCCCCACCTCTGCCTGGGCCCCCCCTGCTGGGGAGGCATCCGTCTTACCTGACAGGTGGTGGGGTGGCTACTGTACCAGCCGGTAGGTGATGTACCTGCCTGCGGTTTCACTGGGCCGAATGATCTTCACTACCTGTATCAGGGTGAGAGCAGGGCTGGGCAAGGTCTCCCCAGGGACCCAGGTGTGTGGGGGAGGGCATGGGGTGGCAGCAGGGCATGTGGCCCCAGGACCCCAACTCTGGGTGAGGAGACCTAGAGGTAGCCCTGACTCTAAAAGGGGCTGGGGCTGGATCCTGAGGGTCCTGCCCAGTAGGAAAAAGGTTTGGGGGCAGGGCTCTCCTACCAGTAGGGGCCTCTCACCTGCCCTCGCTTTATCCCAAAGTAGCGTGCCACAGGGTCTCCAGCCTGGATCCTCGGCAGCTGGTTTTCTCGGAGTTTACTGGAAAGCTCAATCAAGAAAAAAAGCCATGCTGGGCTGACTGGGAGGGATGGAGAAGCCAGGAGAAGAGGAGTGGGGATGGGGGGACCAGAAAGGATACTATCTGGCCAGCAGCTCCGTCACCTCCTCCTTGGTCATAACGACATGCTCTGGGACCAGCTGCCAAGAGAACCTGTATCTTCAGAGTGCTATGACAGACTCCACTGTGCCCCACACTCCCACAGGGGGAGGGGTACAGTGTGTCCCTCAGGGAGTTTGCAACCCACCCATGACTATCATGCAGAGGGGCCTTAGGACACAACCTGGGATCCCCTACAGCTCCCATGAGAAGAGAGACTCCCCCCCCCCAACAGTTTGGCAGAGTGAGCCTGGGAGCCTGCATTCCTATCAAGGCCCCAGGAAATGCTGCTGCTCTGGGCCCTGGGGGCCACACTTTGAGAGCCTGGGTCTACTGCCTTTACTGTCTTACCCCTCCCCACCACCAAACTCCCCCCACCTTCCCGAGGCCCCACCTCGTGTTCTGTGATGTTGATGAGCAGCTCCTGCTGCAGAAACTGCTCCAGGATGTACTTGGGGGCCATATCAACCAGCGACTGGAAAAGAAATCCTCAGGCATGGCCATACCTCCCACCTGGGGCCATGCTTCCCCACCCTGTGGGACTGCAGACCTGGCTCTTGTTTCTTCCCCAGAGGCCAGGGCAGGTAAAAAAGCTAAATGGGTTTGATCTTGTGCCTCAAGCAGCCAGGCATAAGCTGGGAATTTCAATCCCACATGTGGGTTTCTCCCTGCTTCCCCAGCCCTGGCACATCTCCAGGATTTGTTTGGCCTGGTGTCAGGAAATGAGTTTTCATCAGTCAAATGAGCCCAGGGGTTTGTCCTTGAGCCTGCATGATAGCCCCTCCCCAGGAGAGGACTATGATGGAGAGGACTATGATGGTGAGGACTATGCAGCCCCCACAGGCACAGGGAAGAGGGTGCTCACTGCTCCTCCCATCCCACTCAGGCCTAACCACAGACGGGACACACTGGGCCTGCTCTGGGGACCACCCATGCCGCCCACAAAGGACAACAGCTCCTTCTCAGGCCCTGAGCTCCTGCATTAGAACGTGGGGCCCATACCCCAAGGGGTCAGAGGCAAGTGCCGTAGAGGATGCAGTGAGTGCCCTGGATGAAGATAGCAGCGGGGCCTCACAGGTGTCATAGGAAGGGGAAGTGAGGCTCATGAAAGAATAGGTCGGAAAGCGGTCAGGCTTATTGCTGTGGGCACCCACCTGCTTGGCAGAGGGTGTCATGCCCTGCTGCACCACGATGAGGGCTCGGGTGATGTTTTCCTCTTGCATGCGCTGGCAGTACACCTTGATGGTCTTGATCCCCACCTTGGGCTCCTCTGAGGACAGAGTGCATGCTGGCCCACAATGCCAGGCCCCTCACCTGCCCCTTCCCAGGCATGTAAGGTACCCCTCTCTGGGGCCTCAGTTTTCCCGTTTATAGAACAGCAGGATGGCTGCCTCCAGGTTACCTAGCAGCTGAATGGTGTCTATGCCCCTGGGCCTGAGTCGTCCCTGTCTGGAAGTGGGGTCTGGGAGTCTGGGTTTGGTTGGGTGCCTCACTGGTTCCGAGGTTTGGGAACCCCCAGGTTGTGTTTAGTCTGGGAGCCCACGAGGTGCATAGCTGGGTGTCCAGAGGTGAGATGAGGTCAGCTGATCTGCCATGGAGACGGACCACCCACCCCCTGGAGTGGGAGTACTTATGTATTCAGCAGCATTAGGGACCCAGGGCTTTGTCACTGCAGAAGAGCTGGACTCTACAAGTCTAATAGGTCAGGGACTGGGTTTGGGCCACCAGGATTCATGCAAGACTCCCAGCTGGGACTCCATCGCTGTGCAGTGTAGATCACTCCACTAACAGACAGTGTCTTTGGCTGAGCTGTGTCTCCCCAAATCCCCGTGTTTGAGTCCTAACCCCCAGGACCTCAGAAGGTGATTGTGTTTGGTAAAGGGGCCTTCAAAGAGATGATTAAGGTAACATAAGGTCATGTGTGAGCCCTGATCCAATCTGATTGGTGTCCTTCTAAGAGATTAAGACAGACATTAGGGAACCTGTGAGGACACAGAGAGGAGACAGACACCATCCACACGCAAAGGAGAGAGGCATCAGGGAGAACCAACCCAGCAGACACCTTGATCTTGGACATACAGCCTCCAGAGCTGGGAACAATAAATGTCTGTTATTTAAGGCCCCATCTGTAGTGTTTTGTTATGGTGGTCCCAGCAAACCAATATAGGCAAAAACCTCAGCCCTGTCCTGCAGCATGTCCCAGAGGAGCAGTGACACCCCCAGTGTCACCAAACACCAGGAAATGCAGCAAGAGCTCCCACTCCAGGGAGAAGCTGATTCCTGGCAAGTCTGGAGATGGCTCCATGGAAGGCCTATGATTAGGCATTAAGGTCTCAAATAATCATGTCTCATACACGGAGACACTTTTCTTAAAAAGTGCCACCAGGTTCTGCTTGGGAAATGTTTTCTGCCCACCCTCTTTATTCTAGGCACATAGTTGATACCAAGGTGCTGAACACAGCCTGGCACCCCAACTTTTACAGGCCTGAGAGCCAGGCTGCCTCAGTGGGTTAGATGCTATGACAGGGGAATACAGGGATCCCAGGACACCCCTCAGTGGGCTGCTCTTCACTCAACGCAGGGTTCAGTGGGGGTCCTGAGAGGAGACACCTGAGCTCAGTCTTCAGGGATGATGACTGGACACCGAGCAGCCAGAGTGAGGAAGAAAGGTGGTGAGGCAGGAGGATCAGCAGGGATGAGGCAAGAACCCCGCAACAGTGCAGGAAATAGCTGCAGGGAATGCAGGCCCTGAGAATAGAAGCTGGGCTGGTGGTGGGGTGGGGGGAAGGAAACAGCGGGTCTGAGGTCAGGAAGAGTTGTGGACTCGCCTGGAAGGCCTATGATAATCCTGGTCAGAGAAAACAGCCAAGGAATAGAGAATGGGGAAGGGGACCGAGAAGGAAACTGGAAAAGGCACTTAGAAGGGTCAGAAATCAATGGCATCACCCACAGCACACAGGATGAAGGGGAGCTCTCTCCTCTGGGTCATACATCAGGGGAATATTACAAGCTGGATCCTAAGCAGGCTTTCAGATGGCTATACGAGAAGTGTGACCCCTCAGGCACCAGCAAGGCACTCACCCGGGAAAAAGACAAACATCTGGTCAGTGGGGTCATCATTGTGGGCCACCAGCACCGTGAGGTCTGTGCGCCTTGGCCGCCCTTCACTCGGCTTGTCCCCAAACTGGGCCTTGAACTCCTCCAGTGTCTGGTCTAGCTCATCCTGAGTCACCAGGTAGCCTCTGTCATGGCACAGCTGTGGAAAGAGCAAGGTGACCCTGGGCGGAGACCAAAAGCTTGGGCCGAATGAAGCCACTTTGAGAGCATAAGGAGTTTGGGGCTCAGTGTGGCAGGTGTGTACAGAGGCCAGAGAAGAGGGACGGGGCAGGTGGGGACAAAGATGGGATGCAACCCAAGACAGCCCTTGTGCCAATCCAGTTACTCAGCTGCCATGGGTACTGTCATTTTATCCTGAACCTTGGGGAGAGGCTGTGATTGGGAAGAAGCTGCAGAGCTGGCACTTGGGTTGGGGCCATTTGAGCCTAGAGCTGGGGACCTGGGGTCTGGGGTAGATGAAGACAGTTGGGTGGGAGGGGCGCTGCTAGGCTGGTTGGGCAGACACTGGTTGAGGGCCAGCAGTTGCAGGTCTCATCTCGGAAACTGGGATTCTTTGAGTGGGCTGATAGGAAGAAGATCCAAATGGGGAAAAGGGAGGTCAGAGCTGCTATTCAGCCTGCCCCACCCACCCCTTCCTGTGAAGTCACCACAGCCTGATTCTCTCAGGACCCACAACACTGTCAGTCCGTAGCACAACTGTTTCAGTCCCTGTCTTTGGGGTAGCTTGGCAAAGCAGCGAAGAGGCTGAGTTTGGCTGATGGGGCTTAAACCCAGCAGGATTCCTGTGGAGGGGAGTGCAAAGACAGAAGTGGGCTTCTGGGGATCACAATGGCCCCCTCCCATGGGGTGGCTTAAAGCACGTGGCATGTAGTGACTGCTTAGCCAGCCTGCTGCTTCACTCTATCCTGAGTAACTCAAAGTTGGTAGATAACACAATGCAGTAGCCACGAGACAGAGAAGTCAGAGAGAGATGCCTGCATTGGATGGTGGCAGGTCAGACCAGCTGACCCAGGTTCCTTACTGCCCCAAATGCTGGGTTTCTGTCTTATGCACTTGGGGTAGTGCTGGAGCCCTCCAGGAAATAAACAAGAGACTGTGGACGAAAAGGGGGTTCTATGGAAAGTAACCTCACAGGGAGATCTGATCATAAATCCCTAACTGGGCAGGTCCCAGACCTACAACTTTTTTTTTTAAAGATGGATAAATGTATTAAAACTTTGAGAACATTTAACAATTTATTGAAGTCAGGAATATAAAATCTTAATATTAACTCTAGAAACCCGAGAAGCCCCAGGAATTCAATTTAAAGGCTTTAGAAAGAATTCCTTATAAAGTGTTTATATTACATTCTTTGTTAGACTGGTACTTGGAGCACTTTTGATATCATTTCACCATTTCAGATGTATAACTTTTTGAGTAAAAGGTTTATCTTTGTCTTAAGCAAACCCTGTCCATTGTTCTTGTGCGTCCAGGTTAACACACCTTTAAAATATGCTTAACCACCTTCAAGAGAGCACATAGTTTTGTTTACTATCTGTAATCTAATCCCTGCATTGCTTTCTCCCACATTCCTGTAATCTTCCTTACATTCCCTCCTTAATTTCAAGCGCATAAAGAAACTGCAAAATTGTTATTCTGGGCCTGGCCAGTGAAACTCAGTGGTTGAACCTCGACCTATGCAAGAGGTCCTGGGCTGGATTCCTGGTCAGGGCACTTGCCCAGGTTGCTGGTTCCATCCCCAGTAGGCAGCCAATCAATGTCTCTCTCTCTCTATCCCTCTCCCCCTCTCTTTAAAAATCAATGAAAAAACCCCACTGTTATTCTCTGACATATTTGAGATCTTGATTCCCACCAAGTCATCAATTTTGCTTCAAATAAACTTTATTATTTTTATGTTTTTTAAATTGATTTCAGAGAGAAGAAGGGAGAAGGAGAGATAGAAACATCCATGATGAGTCATTATCTGCTGCCTCCTACATGCCCCCCCACTGGGGATGGAGCCTGCAACACAGGCATGTGCCCTGACCAGAATTCAACCGTCACCTCCTGGTTCAGAGGTCCATACCCAACTACTGAGCCACACCAGCCGGGCAGATTATTTTTTCTTTCTTTTTTTAAAAACATGGGACGCTTCACGAATTTGCGTGTCACCCTTTTGCAGGGGCCATGCTAATCTTCTCTGTATAGTTCCAACTTTAGTATATGTGCTGCCAAACGGAGCACCAAATTATTTTTAAAATGTCTTTATTGATTTTTAGAGAGAGAAAGGGAAAGGGAGGGAGGGGGAGAGAGACTGAGAGAAACATCGATGTGAGAGAAACCTCGCTGGGTTGCCTCCCGGATGTGCCCAGTAGGGGATGAATCCACAACGTAGGTAAGTGCCCTGACCAGGAATGAAACCCGCAACCTTTTGGTGTAGGGGGAGGATGCTCCAACCAACTGAGCCATCCGGCTAGGGCTCAAATAAACCCTTATAAAAGTTCTTTACAGGTTTGTACGTTCTTTACGTGCACAAGACCGTGATACGAAGAGACAGCGAACTTCCCAGGAAGAGAGACCCGACTCCCGCCCCCGCTTCCCTGCCCCGCTAGGACTCGACGACAAGCAGGGAGCCCCCACGCGCTCACCTGCATAATGGTCTTGCGGATCTTCCACAGCCGGTAGGTCTCCTCCTCGTCATCCATGCCGGCCGCCGCACGCACTCACTGCGCCTGTGCGCCGCAGGACCCGGGCGACTGCGCCTGCCGCGAGGCCCGGTCAGGCCCCCTCAGCCACTCTGTTTAGGGCTGTCGCCAGCAGATGCCTGAATGCAACGACCTTCGGGTGAGGCAGTGCCAAGGGCAGCCCGAGCTTCCGGAGAGCGGCTGTTGGCTGCGCCAGAGGCGTGCGAACCGCACCGCCGACTCCCCTCGGAAGCTGAGTATCAACAGCGGCGAGAAAACTGAGGGCGGAGAAACTGAGGCCCACACCAAACCAGGGGGCTCCTCTCCTCCCACGACTCGGGATGCGTAGTGTTGTCTCATAAATATTTGTGCATTCAACTGTAGGGGGGGCGGTCCTCTCAGATGGCTCTGGGCCATGTGCAACCTAATGGACTCAGCCTCAGTTTTCCCGTCTCTACAATGGAAATAATAAACTGTCCCCATTTAAGAGAGTTAGGGACCCTGGCTGGGTTGCTCAGTTGGTTAGAGCGTCGTTCAGATAAGCCAAGGTTGCGGGTTTAATCCTTGGTCAGGGCACATACAAAAATCAATCAATGAATACTTAAATAAGTGGAACAATAAATCAATGTTTCTCTCCCCTCCCCCCCCCTCAACTCTCTCAGAAAATCAATAGAAAAATATCCCTGGGTAAGGATTAAAAGAAAAGGTTAGTTGCAAATCTAAAGGGATGACCATGTTTAAGAGGAGGTTGGCATAGCTCCTAGTGCTTATGGCCTGCTGCGACCTCTGTCCTCTCCCTGTCCCCTGAGCCCCAGCCCTGCCTCCCCTGGATTTCTTCCTGAGTTCATACAGGAGGCTCACCCAGCCCAGCCCCTGCCACTTTGGAGGCCAATAGCTTTTCACTTAGTAATACATTTATTCAATCAGGTATTCACCAAACAACCACAGGGCAAGCACCCCTTAGATTCCAGGAAGACCCAAAATAGACATATAGTGAACATATTAGACAATAATGTGAGAGGGTGACAATGCTTTGTAAGAGCTGAAATACAACTGAGGCCTAGGTGTTATCTTTAGGGAGGAATGATCAGGGAGCCTAAACTGCATGACTAACAATATGCTAGGGAGGATAGATTACCCTGGGGACAAGGTTCTTGTTTTCTCAGTTTTGCCTCATCCGGGGCTTTCTGCCCTAGTGGGTTTTTGTACCTGGCCCATAGTCCTTGCGTCCTTGCTCTGCTGTCTGTCTAACACAAGGCCAAACAGTGTGGGCAATTTACAGCCAGCTTGTAAATAACAATCCATTATCTTCCCTAGCCAAGGACACTTGAAAGCAAATAGTTAAAAGCGTCCCTAAGGAGAGAAGGCAGGAAAGGGGGAGAAAAGAGGGGAAAGGGGGAGTCTTTCTCGCCCATTAAACAAATCAGCCTGCTTTGAGGAAGGGGAAAGGAGAAAAGGGCAGTTTTATTTTATTTTTTTACTCCCTAGGCAGAAAAGTCAGCAGTCTCAAGACTTGACAAGATAAAATTGCCAGGTGCTTCTCATGAACTCTGGAAGGACCACAACAAAGTAAAAAGGGACCTGGAGAATTAATCTGTACCAAAATATTCAGCAAAGGAAGTTTTAAAAATGTTTTTATTGATTCTAGAGAGAGAGAGGAAGAGAGAGGGAGAGAGGAAAAAAAATCAGTTGGCTGCCTCCAGGATCGAGCCCACAACCTGGGCATGTGCCCCAACTGGGAATCAAACAGATAACCTTTTGGTGCATGGGATGGTGCTCAAACAAGTGAGCCATACCAGCCAGGGCTCAGCAGAGGAATTTTGAAACCTATAGACAGGAGGGTATTGTTAGATGGGCCAGGTATAGAAACCCAGGTACAGAAACTACAGTACAGAGACTTACCAGGGCAGGAAGCCCTGGATGCCTAGCAAGGGGCAAAACTGGGAAAACAAGAACCTTGTCCCCAGGGTAACTTATCTTCCCTAGTATATCCTTTGTCATGTAGTTTAGACCCTCCTGAGCATTCCTCCCTAAATGCTCATCTAGGCCTCAGTTGTATTTCAGCTCCAGGCCCAGAAAAGCAGCAAAACCAGACTAGTGGCGAAGTGGCTGCCTCAGATACAGGACTAATGACCCCCTGCCCTGACACCGACCAATCAGCTGAGATCACGACCCTGAAAGAGCACATCTGGAAAGCTGATGAATATTCTATTGAGACACTCCCCTGAGACCTCCCCTAAGATTTCCACCAGCAAGAAAGAGATAAATAAGCTCAGGACAAAGGATCTAGTTCACTTCCAACTAGGGGAACACACCAGTGCCATCTACGTCCCTCCAAGGGTAGGTACCCCTTGAGACTTGCAACCAGGGGAGCAATGGCAGCAGCAGCTTGTCGTGGGCTTATCCCCTGAACCTGTCTCCAAGGTCCCTTCTCTCTCTGACTTCTCAGTGAGCCAAAGCAGCCCAGCCTAGGCTCTCCTGTTGCCTCTTCTATGATCTTCCTTGTTTCACTGTCCCAAGTATATTTTGCTGCCATCATGGACCCAATTCCCTTTAGCTCAGTGCTGTGTAGCCCTTCTCTTTGGACATCCCCATCCCTTACCCCCTTTTTCTTAAATAAGTTTAATTTTCTTTATTCACCTGTCTGAGATGGCTATTTAGCCTGACTGAGCACCACCGAACCGTTAACCTTTCAGGCATATAATGCCTAATCCCCACCCAACTTGCTCTTCAAATTAGCTGAGAGCCCATCCGCCAGTGTTATGCCAGATGATAGATTTGTTTGCCTTGCTTCTTTAATAAATTTGCTTGCTTTAATAAATTGTCTTTATCACAATGCAATCAGGATCTTTCATTTAAATTCACTTATATGAGAAAACAAGAACCAGGGTGAGACAGCCCTCTCCATCTGACTCGGGGGGCTGTCCGATAACACCTCTCCAGTGTCTGTGAAAGGTGCTTGTAACACAAGGTCTCACAGTCGCTTACAGATATCCTTCACTGTATTTCCCTCAGAGTGAGAGGGGAAGCTGGAGCTTGGGAAGGGGCCCATGTTCCCATTACCATACACAGGCAAATCCACAGAGACAGGAAGTGGGTTAATGGTTGTCCGGGGCTGGGGCTGGGGC